AGGGCTTTCTATTTTTCGTTACTATCTCTTTCATCCTGCCTTTGCTATATTAACCATGCGACTCGGGCCAATACCCCGTGCGTTCAAATATCTAATCTCTGTGTGTACTTGTTTGTTTTGTAGGTAAACTCCAATGGTAAGTGCTCTCTAAAGCATAAACTATCTGGCCACCAGAAACCCATTTCCTTGATTTCATGGAGTCCCGACGATAATCAGCTGCTAACGTGTGGGGTGGAGGAGGTTATTAGGCGGTGGGATGTTTCAACCGGCAAGTGCCTCCATGTTTATGAAAAGGCTGGCTTCGGGATGGTTTCATGTGGATGGTTTCCTGATGGGAAGTCTATACTTGCTGGTATTAATGACAAGAGTATCTCCATGTGGGATTTAGATGGCAAAGAGTTGGACTCTTGGAAAGGGCAACGGATTTCGAAGATATCGGATTTAGAAATATCGGACGACGGGAAGAACATTATTAGTATATGCCGAGAAACCGCAATTTTGCTTCTCGATAGGGAGATCAAAATTGATAGATGGATTGAAGAAGATCAAGTAATAACTTCTTTTCAGTTGTCCAAAGATAATAAATTCTTGCTGGTTAATCTTCTGAATCAAGAAATCCATCTATGGAGCTTAGTTGGTGAACCCAATCTTGTATGTAAGTATACAGGTCATAAGCGGACTCGGTTTGTTATTCGGTCCTGTTTTGGAGGACTTGAGGAAGCTTTTATTGCAAGTGGCAGTGAGGACTCACGGGTAGGCAAATCGTTTGTTCTTTTAACATCTCGAGAACTTAGTTAAAATGAAGGCATCGAATGAAGGATGTCGATGACTTAGTTAAAATGAGAACACTAATCTCTTTCGAGATCTCGAGTTTCTTCTTTCTATGAACTATATAAATACTCTTTTGTATATCCTAATGGATCGTTCGTCCTCGCTGTTTGTAGGTATATATATGGCACAGAGGATCCGGGGAGCTTATCGAAGCGCTGACTGGTCACTCTGGCTCGGTTAATTGTGTGAGCTGGAATCCTACAAACCCGCACATGCTGGCATCGGCCAGCGATGACCATACGGTTAGAATTTGGGGCGTGAAGGGACTAAATGTAAAATCGAAGAATGCATACAGCAATGGCATCCACTATTGCAATGGCGGAGCTTAACGAGAACGCGTACGGCTGCCCCTGGTTCTTATTCTTTTCTTCCCTCTCTGACAGTTGCTCATGTAAATACTTACTATTATCACTTTTCTAAGTTAAGATTCATGTTAAATGGGAATCATGAAGTTTATTTCTGAAATGAATAAGTTATTTCAAAGGTACTCGTTTCGCTTTATTTCGTCTACTTGATACGTTACTGATCTGAGATGACTGGCTTAGGCATCTAGAATACTGTTTATTTTGTTTCACGGGACTGCTTGTCAGGTTCGGGATGGGTTTTGAGCGATAATTCATTGCTTTGGCATCTAGAATACTATTTATTTTGTTTCATGGGATTGCTTATCGGGTTCGGGATGGGGTTTTGAGCGATAATTCAATGCTTTGGCATCTAGAATACTATTTACTTTGTTTCACGGGATTGCTTATCAGGTTCGGGATGGGGTTCCAAGCGATAATTCAATGCTTTGGCAGCTACGATCTTTTGTGGTTTACTTTGAGCATTGAAATATGCTTCATGTACTTCATATTCTTGTGTGAAACTTGATTGAGCCTTTAGTTATCAGACATATAATCTATTGATAGCTTGGTTTTTTCTTACATGTTTCTCTGGCCCTAAATGGGAACGGAAAGGACGGTTTCTGTAACAGTCCAAGTCAATCGCTATCTGATATTGTCCTCTTTGGGCTATTCGTGTCAGGTTTTCCCTCAAGGTTAACATGTCTTTAGGAAGAAGTTTTCACACCATTACAAAGAATGTTTCGTTCCCCTCTCCAACCGATGTGAGATCTCACCGTTTCTTTACTCTTCAATGAGTTGCTTTGAAACATTCGTCTGTTTTGATCTTCTTTTAGGTGTCAATTCCTTGGGATATCTCTTCACCTTCCTCCTAACGTCCCTGGGGTTTTGACTTGGGGCTGGATTTGACAAGTAGATCGAGTTTCGATTTTAGTTTCTTAATCGGGGTAGTAGAGGGTTGCTCCTTGTATTGTTGCTCGTGGTCTACCCTACTATGTTATAAGGAGGTATTGTCAGACTTTGCTGAGTCCAAGGGCTGCGTCGAGAGACACCCTACTATGTTAGAAGGAGGTATTGTCGGACTTTGCCGAGTCCAAGGGCTGCGTCGAGAGATGCCCTACTATGTTATAAGGAGGTATTGTCGGACTTTCGAGAGACACCCTACTATGTTATAAGGAGGTATTATCGTGTGTCGAGAGACGACAAAAGAAATATAAGTTTGCTGTTTTTGTCATAGTTGACTTCATTGTTGGCTTTTAATTGAATATGCTTTTGAGTGATGCTGCTGTCTAAATCCATTTCATATTTTTATGAAGCATATGTTCCATCTCTTTTTCTAAGCTATATTTGATGACTTAAGCCATTGTTTTAAGCTTTATTTGAATTGAGAGATGCACATTGAATGCTCAATCGAATAACGTTATAGAAACGACGTATTATGGAGTTCCATTTGCTATAAATTTAGTCAAACAAACAACTTCTACGTAGCTTTGCGTCAGTGTCGTGTGGTTTATAAATTAAGCTAGGACGTTATTGAAACATTGACTTTTTTGTTTTCAACTTGACGTTTTATGTTATTTAGTGCGAATGTGCTAAGTAGGGAGTACTTGTTCTTCATTGTCACTTTGCTTAGCTTACCGCACTGGATGCACAATCTCATTGATCCGTCTTTTATTATAAACCACATAAGTGCTTTCTAGAGTGTGACGTAGAGACGAATAAAACCCTTGTCTAACAGGTTTTGTAGTTGTACCTCGAAAACCTCTATTTTGATTTGTTTTGTTCTTCTCACTTGTACGATGATCACGTATAACACATACGTGTCGATGGAGGTAGAGGTATCTATCGTATGTATCCAACATTTCAATGGAGGCACATACGATGAAGGTGGGGGAATAGAGAAAAATGTGTTTACGTTGCGTTTACGTTGTTCTTTTTTGGACGGAAGAAAAAATAAATAAATTTAAAAGAAAATTACCAAACAATTAAAACCGTATTTTCATTAGTACCACAAATGAAAGCTTGAATTCTCAACCATTCTCCTTCAGAAACAAAAATCCAAAACAATAAGAAATTCCTTCTTTTAATCTTTGGGGTGCCGTAGCCATGGCGGTGCCGTTAAATTCCGGCCGCTTCTTTTCAATTCCTCCTACAAACGGCCGTAGAATTTACAGAGTGACCGCCGTGGTGGTGGCTGCTTCGGCGGAAGAGAAAGTGAAGTTGGGCGGTTCTGACCTGAAGGTAACCAGGCTTGGCGTTGGAGCTTGGTCTTGGAGAGAACATCTACTGGAACAGCCTTTGATTGGGACGGTAAGTTTATCAAATCACTCTCAAATTAAGTAATAAAAAAAAAAAAATGGAATTAACCCTTTTCAGTTCGCAGTAAATATATGTAATTTTAGTAGTCACAATTAGATAATACATCAATTACTATCTCAAAATTACCGTCAATTTTAGCCTTTATTTACCTTTTCAACTTAGTAACTATGGTAAAAAGAGTTTCAATTATTGTTAAATTGCAGATTACTTGTAATTAAATTTTTTTTTTCAATTTAAATTTAGTAAATTTTTTATTAGATGAATATGACTCTCTACAATAATATAATATTGTCCAACTTGAGTATCACGTTGATCATCAGCTCTCATGGTTTTGTTTTGGGCTTCCCAAAAGGCCTTTATCCCAATAGATAGAGTATTCCTTGATTATAAATCCTTTCATTATCCAACAATCATTTTTTACTATGCCTTCGAGGAGGCTCGACTCCTTTTCTTTTCAAGTATTTTGTTCGACATTTGAGGATTTACTAATCTATTGGCACGACTAAGTTTAGGGCATGACTCTAATACCATGTTAGATGAACACGACTCTCCACAATGGTATGATATTGTCCACTTTGAGTATAAACTCTCATGACTTTGTTTTAGGTTTCCCAGAAGGCTTCTACCAATAAATAGAGTATTCCTTGATTATAAACTCATGAACGGATGTGGGACTTTCATCCTCCAACATTTTTTTTATTTGAATAATTGGATTAGCGGATTGTATTATAGTTTATGGTACAACAATATATAACAAATAATAATAATAATAATAATAATAAATAATAATAATGTTTAAGTCCATAAAATATAATTTATTGATGATTTATTAGAATTAAATTGAAATATTTAAAATCATATAAACTAAATTGAATATTTTAAAATAAGGAACAAACGTCTAAACTAAAATATATATTTAGCTTAATTTTTTTAATTAGTGGAATAATCGAACCATCGACCTTTTAAAATGATACTCGAAGTCATAGTTTTATTTATTGATGTATGCTCGATTTAACATCATTTGAGATTTTTTGTTTCAGATAGGAAGCTAAAGGATACTTTAGGTGCTGTAGAATCAGAAACTCTTTTAGGAAGGTACCCTTTTAAACGACGTTTTTGTTTTTGTTTCTCGTGTCTCTTTTACGACATTTTTATATCTCGTTTCTCAATCCTCGTTTGTAACGTTTTTGTTTCTCGTTTCTTGTTTTCTACTAAGTTTTTGCTTCTCGTTTCTCTTTTACGTCATCTTTGTTTCTCGTGTCTCTTTTACGACGTTTTTATTTGATAATTATGAGATCTGATATTGATTAGAAGAGAATGAAACATTTCTTATAAGAGTGTAAAAACCTCTCCCTAATAGACATGCGTTTTAAAATTGTGAAACTGATTGCTATACGTAATGGGTCAAAGCGGACAGTATTTGCTAGTGGTGGCCTCGAGATGTTACAATAACTGTCTTTATGTCCCACCTAACAACACTTGACTTGACTTTCGAGCGTTACTACATATTCATTAAAGAAAAGAATGCAAAGGATCCAAGAGTTGATGTCACAGTGGCCACAAAGTTTGCAGCATTGCCATGGAGGCTTGGTCGTCGAAGCGTGATATGAGTCCTTAAGGACTCCCTCGCTCGCCTCGGCCTTGCGTCGGTCGACCTGTATCAACTTCATTGGTCAGTGCCTGTTGACTCTTTCAAGCAGCTTCTCTTTACTACATATATAGCTTTGAACTCACTATATTGGCCGGTTTTGGCTTTGTTTCTCAGGCTTGGAATATGGGGAAATGAAGGTTCTTCTTCACTCCTCAACCTTGAATTTTCTCCTTAAAGAAGAAGCTTAGTTCATTAACAATTGCTTTTAAAGGGTATACTGATGGTCTTGGAGATGCTGTTGAGCTGGGACTTGTGAAGGCTGTTGGTGTTTCAAATATACCAGGTTACTCGAGGAGCTCGATTGTGAGATCCCATATCAGTTGGAGAGAGGAACGAAACATTCCTTATAAGGGTGTGGAAACCTCTCTCTAATAGACGCGTTTTAAAATCGTGTGGCTGATGGCAATATGTACCGAGTCAAAGTGGATGATATTTACTAGTGGTGGACTTGAATTGTTACAAATGGTATCAGAGCCAGTCACTAGGTGGTAAGTCCATTCAAATATCTCATTGCTTCTACTATAAAGTTGACTTGAATTTTGCTTCGGTTCTGATATCAACCATAACGATTTGTCATTTTACTCTTAAATAAGTGGGTCGTTTCGTGATTTGATGGAACTAGAGCTGCTGTCGTGTTCTACATTTTCTCAATTCAAATAATTAATGGTGTGAGAACGTGTTTATATTATTATATTGGTACAAATCCATGATTCAAAATAAAATTGTAACAATTCAAGCTCACTGCTAGCAAATATTGTCTACTTTGGTTTGTTACATATCATCGTTAGTCTCATAAATGTGTCTACTGGGAAGAGGTTTCCCCGCCCCTATAAAGAATGTTTTGTTCCCCTCTCCAATTGACGTGGGATCTCACAATCTACTCTCTTTGAGGGTCCAACGTCTTTGTTGACACGCTAATAATGTTTGATTAATCCACCACACCTAAATATTTAGGTGGGAAAGTTATCTTATTTATAATCAAATAAATTACAAAGATATCGAAAGAATAATAAATGAAAATATGGAAGAGATACCCATAGTAATAAGGCAAATATTTATAATATTTGTCTTATAATAAAATATCAAATATAATATATATGGTAAACTATAATTTATTACTAAATATTCTTAACACACACCGTTCAAAGTCTAGCTCTTATATTATTCATTAAAGGTGTGTTTGAGCGGTTACAAAATAAATGCAAATTTAAAAAATTTAAATCGAGATTTAATAGATTTGGTGATAAGTATGTCAATTTTTTCAACGAAAAACATGGTAATTTTGTTTCTTTAATTTGTGGTCGGTGTCGGTGGAGTCTTCCGTTTTAAATGATTCTCAAATAATGTATTACTTAAATAATAATAATAATAATAATATATATATATATATATATATATATATATATATATATTTTTTTTTTGTTTTCCTAATTTAATTAAAAAAATAAAATATTTCCTTACAATTATGAAAAGTAAATAATTTAATTTATTTTTTTTATAATTTTCTTCCAAAAATACAAAATCTTTGAACTTAAGATCATTTAAGATACATTAGAAGGAGAATTGAAAGTTTAAATAATTATTTAATAATTATAAAATTAAATAATTAATAAACACAAAATAACAAATTTAGGATTCATAAAATATTTTTAAAAAAACATACCAAAATAAATAATAATAATTGAAGGACAACAGAATCCAATCCAAATTTAAAAAAAAAACTAAAATAATTAGTTTTTAAGAACATGTTTTTTTCATAAAAAATGGACTAAAGTTCAAATATTTATATAAAAAAAATTATTTTTTAATTTTCGAATTTAATAAAAAAAAAATCAAATATTTTCTTCCAAAAATATAAAATCTTTAAACTTAGGATCATTAATTTTAAAAATATGTTATAGAGAGAATTGAAAGTTTAAATAACTATATAATAATTATAAAATTAAATAATTAATAAACACAAAATAACAAATTTAGGATTGATTAAATAATTAAAATAAAAAACATACCAAAATAAATAATAATAATAAGAATAATAATTGAAGGACAATTTCTATAGCTTTAACCTGAAAGATAACATAACTTTTGGGATAGGCAAAATCAGGTGGTGAGTTGTCATTACTGTTCTTCCGACCACATTTGTCTCCTCTCCCTCTCATCATTGAGAGATATAATAAAACACACCCTCCATGGATATTGATCTTCAACCTCCCCCGTTGGTCCTACAAGAAAATCACAGACGCCTTGCCTCTTCGCCACGTGTCCTCCCCTTCTACTTCACCTCTATTCCTTATAGTACCGAATCTTTGCTCTGACCTCTGTGTGTGTGACGTCCTTTTCCCTCACCACTGGTTTTAAATGCCTTTTGGTCCATTTCTCACTCGCTCCATTGCATTTGCTGTTGAGTTTTCTCCTTTTACAGAGAAATCACGAACAGGGTCACTTCCATTTTCCAGCTTTCTCTCGATTCAAACTCGGATTTCTTCAGGTTTTTGACTCTGTTCTTCGTGTTCTTTGCTTATGGGTATTGGGTTTTGGGTATTTTCTTTCCTTTTCTCTGTTTGAAAGGCTTGATTATGGCATTTTCTAATCATTTCTTTGTTTAGATACTCAATTATGTGCATTATTTTACTGGTTTACTTGGACTTTCTTCTCATTCTTTGGCTTAATCTTCATTAATTATTTCATTTTTTGGTCAAGTTCTATGCTAGATTTTGTGGGTTTAGTGCAATAATTTGTGGGTGTTTCTTGTTTTCTGCTTTGGAAGCCTCTAAGTATTGAATTTTGTGTTCTAATTTGAGATTTTAAGGGCTTTTTTTTTTTTTGCCTTGTTCTTCCATTTTGACAGAGCTTTTGTGTCAAAGCGGCGGCGGCCATGAATTATTGCTTTCCTGATTGGAACTTGGAGGGTGATCTTCCTTCAGCTAGCCATAAGAAATCAATGGGGTTAGCCCTTTTTTCTTGTTGTTTTCGAATGTTTGGTGCATTTTCAACATGGTTTTTAAGCTTTGATGGGGATTTTACAGACATGAACATGATGATCTTGTGGAGCTGTTATGGAGAAATGGGCAAGTGGTCTTACAAAGCCAAAAGGCTAGAAAGCCAAGCCTTATTCAGAAACAGAATCAACCTCTTGATAGGACTAATATTTCTTCTGGAATTTCAAGCACTTTGATTCAAGATGATGACACGGTTTCGTGGATTCATGATCCGCTCGACGACGATTCGTTCGACAAGGAATTTTGTTCTGAGTTCTTCTCCGAAATGCCACAAACTAGATTTGGTGCCTTTGATGCTGCTGCTGCTACTCAGAACTCTAAGCCTCCTGCAGTTCTTGCTGAGCTTCCTACGAACACGATGCCTCCTCCGAAATATCAGTGTTCAGGTTCGATACGACAAACGAAGGATTTGGGAGATTTAGGAAAAATGGTGAACTTTTCTCAAGTTCCTGTGGCATTGAGGGGTGATTTGGGATCATCAAATGGAGGGAGAGAGCCTGGAAACATGATACATGGAGAGGTAAGAGATTGTTCAGCAACTACGGTTGGTTCGAGCCACTGTGGAAGCAACCAAGTTCCTAATCCTGAACCAATTGTGAGTCGAGTTTCGACGAGTGGTGTCGGGAATGCTGGCTTATCTGTTGATCTCTCTAACAAAAAGATGGCTGCACAAGGTGAGAGGGAAAAAACTGAGACCATGGATCCAACTGCTACTTCGTCCTCGGGCGGTTCGGGAAGTAGTATGGATAGAAGTAGAACAATTGGACAATCTAATGGAGGTAATGGCAACAAAAGAAAAGGTCGAGACGGGGAAGAATCCGAGTGCCAAAGCGAGGTAAAGCTATTAAGCATTTTTTCAATCATGAAGTCGATTAGTTATAGTTTCGAGTTATGAACATCACGGCTCGAGCTTTTCTGCAGACTGCTGAACTAGAATCTGCTGAGGGAAACAAGGCAGCTCCACGGTCGGGATTTCCGCGCAGGACTCGTGCTGCTGAAGTACATAACCTTTCGGAAAGGGTAGGATATCAAGAATTCCCCATTTATCAATCTTTTTTCTATTATGAACTTCATGTTAAGAGCTTAGTTGTAGTGCAGAGAAGAAGAGAAAGGATAAATGAAAAGATGAAAGCACTGCAAGAACTCATACCACATTGTAATAAGGTAACCAACAATGATTGAAACATATTAAGTCAACTTGGTTGACTTCAAAATTTTCAGTGTTCATAAATCTTTTGTTCTTTGTCACAGACCGACAAAGCTTCAATGCTAGATGAAGCTATTGAATATTTGAAGTCACTTCAATTACAACTACAGGTATGAGTTTAGCTACGAATTCCACAAAATCTACTGATTTTTGCGTTTTTGTGAGATCCTACCTCGGTTGGAGAGGGGAACGAAGCATTCCTATTAAGATTGTGGAAACTTTTCCCTAGTGGACGTGTTTTAAAACCTTGAGGGGAAACCCGGAAAGGAAAGCCCAGAGAGGACAATATCTGCTAGCGGTAGGCTTGAGCTGTTACAATTGGTATCAGAGTTAGACATGGGGTGGATTGTGAGATCCCACATCAGTTGGAGGAGGGAATGAAAAACAAAGCATTCCTTATAAGGGTGTGGAAACTTTTCCCTAGTGGACACGTTTTAAAACCTTGAGGAGAAGTTTAAAAGGGAAAGCTCAAAGATGACAATATCTACTAGCGGTGGGTTTGAGCTGTTATAGTTTTTTTAATTGCTTAATGTTCTATAGGTTATGTGGATGGGAAACGGGATGGCACCAATGATGTTTACCGGCGTTCAACATTACATGTCTCGAATGGCTATGGGCATGGGAATGGCTCAGCCTTCAATGCCTTCAATGCCTTCAATTCACAACTCAATGCAATTACCTCGGGTCTCGGTTGTCGATCAATCAGTTTCAGTGACTCCGACTCCAAACCAACCGACGATATGCCAACCTCAACTTTTCAACCCCGTGAATTATCAAAATCAGATGTCGAATCCCGCTTTGCAAGAGCAGTATGCTCGTCTAATGGGCTTCCATCATATGCAACCTAGCTCACAGGTTAGATATTGGATTGTGTTTAGAGTTTGTCTGTTGGATGTTTTGTTCAAAAATTGTAACAATTAAGATTAATCATGTCTGGTTTTGTTTTGCAGCCCATAAATGTCTTCAGATTTTGTCCCTCAAAAGTCTTGCAAAGTCAAACGCCAGCAGC